GGAATTTCCAAAACTCAAACACTTTCGATGCTAATAGGAATTTGGCAGACGATTCGTGCACTCATGTGTTGACAGAAGCAATCGGCGGTGAATTACAGGCACAGCGACAAACAACATTTGTGTGCAGGCAAGAGAGAAGCACAGCAGGGTTTGAATTTGAAGAAGACAGGAAGAAGGTAGGTATAAGCCTCCGCCCTCCTCCCCCGCGTTTTCGCGGCCTTGAGAGCCTCCTCGCAACAAATCGCCATGTTTCAAAATTTATAAGGGGGACCTTGATTGTGCCCATTGCTATTTTATATATTTAATATTGGTAATGCAGTAAAACTATGTAAAACTAATATTTGATTATATATATTGGCTGTTTTATATTTTTATTGTATGCTCAAACTAGTATCTTCTAAAAAAATCTTTGTCTTCTATTTTAAAAGTATTCACGTCATGAAAATTCAGTTAATTCTAAACAGGAAATATTAAAAAATATAAAAAAATGTATAAAAATAAACGTGTTGTCAAAACTTATAAACTTGTCAGAAACTTGTAAACTGAATCTCTGTCTCCACCACCACCACAAACGAAGCCAGTACCGTCATCCCGCAAATATATTAATTGCACTCTTAAACCACATTCATGACCAGAGTGTGAAACATTTTGGGTGCCTTCGAAAGACAATGCACTACCTAAGATCAGTGAGTAATTGGACTAGAAAAGCATTTACATGGTGCACCCGGTTTTGGGTTTTGGGTTTAGGGTTTAGCATTACACGGTGCCCATTATCCAGGATTGCATACTTGCTTTGCAAACACAAAAGACGGAAGAATAGCACTTCATTTGGAATTGGCACAATTATGAGATAAAACCTGAAATATAATGGTTGATTGTTGAGTGTAGGTGACGAAGAGAAGAGGCGGTGAATGACTGTTGGGTGTAGCTTGAAGGACATATTTCCAGCTCTGCACACCACATCAAGCTGTGGAAGCAGAGAGGACTGTTAGCTGATTGTGGTAGAAGAAAACATGCGAGTTGCAGAAATCTCATCTTCTTTCTCACTGCTGATGTTCGTATCTATCACGGCATTTTACAGAACACGTTCAAAACAGACACTTGAGAGCATGCTTGCAACATTTTGCGGCTTCTGAATGGATCATATACGTAATACTTCAGAAGTGAAATGGCTCCAGCGGAATCCTGAGCCCTAACAGAAATGTCTCGAGGTAACTGCAGTTGTCTCGGTGTTTCTACGGTCCTATTTGCGATCTTTGTGCATATGTAGTCAAGCTTACGTGTTCTTAATTGCGCCGATTTTTTTATTCTTATAATTATTATTTTAGAGGTGGGGGGGGGGGTGGTGGGGGTGTGATGCATAGGGTACCAAGGTCGTTGCGGCGAATGTGGACAAGAAGCACGTGAATGAAGAAATCTACAAAGGGTGAAAAGATCGCATGTGGGGTGATCAGCAGTCCAAAGGAGCATAGTCGTTGGCACTGCAATACGGGATTCCGGCTCTGGGGTAGCAATATAATCGACCTTCTCTCAATCTCTAGCCTCCCTTGCAAGACAAGAGACTCATCATTCCTCACGAGCTATTTGTCCGTGGAACTCGGACAACGTCAAAATAGACTAGTGCTTATAAAGGATGCCAAAGTAACAAGATGAACGCTGCCTTAGTCTTAATCACCAAGGCTTCTAATGCTGATCGAGAAGGGTCGAAATCTATGCTTCCAAGCTCGAGAATCCCAATCGTCATGTCCGCAGGGGTCGCTGCCAGGATTTCAACCTTGGCCGACCACCAAATTTCAAATACGCCAACAGATTTTGGCCTTGTCATTTCCACAAGAATAATTAGAACGGTTATCCTTAAACCAGGTTTCCACTGAATCGACCACCTTGTTGCACGGGTGATAGACAGCCTCGCATAGCTAACTTCAGCTAGGGGAGTGGGCAACTTCTCAAACAAAGGATCGCAGGTTCAAAAGTGCATCGTTCTTTGTCATAAATTGCTCTCAACGACCAACAAACAATTCGACACAGCCGACTTTCTGTCCGATCCCTAAACCCGAAAACAAAGTGCCTGCACTCATATTCATTGAACCGTTCGTTACTGCCAGTCACTGCAAGGACTTTAAGTAAGCTGCTTCCACAGAACACCCATACCCACCTCTACAGCCAGAAGGACATTACTGCCATGGGGTATTCGATCAATCCATCAAGCAGTGATCGCAATGTCACCCACTCCCCACTCATAGAGATACAAGAGAACGAGCATGTCAATGTCGCAAAACCTCTCAATGTAATTAAACACTGCACTATAAATAGATGGTCGTTCTGTAAGCATACATGCTGCATTTCGCTGTAAAGCAGTGCACACTGAGGCCTCATGCTATGCATAACCTAATACTATGCAGATGAGATTTTTGCACTTTTTTGAGGGACAGTTTGGGGATAGTCATTAAACATTTCGAGGGCTGCAACGGTGGGTGCCAGGGGCGACCGGTCAAAGAGCAAGTTCCATTGGTCCAAGATAACTCTCGGAATAGGAAGGTTCGAAGGGCTTAGTCCCTGAATTCCGGGCTACGTCACCCCATTTTTGGAGTCAGAAAAGTTAGTGCGACGGAGCTTCAACACGGCCAAACCCTATTAGGAAGTGTGCCTTCGGTCTCATTCTTCGAATTCTCTGATTTTTTTTTGATGCGATGAATGCTGAAGTATGGCGTTGAGGCGTCCTCTAGGTGCGTCAAGCGGGGAGGTGATGCGTGAAGATGCCATTCCCTGCGAACGCATTACGCGCATCTTTGCGACTGTGGCAGGGATAGGTGGCGTGTTCCTTGCATGGCCTCTTTGCCACATTCATTACGGTGAGTCACACCCACATTTTAGTTTCTCTCTCGGGTATTGCTTCCTGTATACCTTGTGAAACGTAAGTAAATGGCAGAAAAGGTTTTTAGGTCTGGACCTCAAGATATACTCCTTCCGTGTTCTTGCTAACAGTGTGAGCGGAATTTTGTTGTTGAGGACTCCGCATCTGTCTTAGACGAAGAGTGTTTTAGTGATAGCTCTTGGCATTTGCACAGCAGTATTGTCCTTCGTCGAAATTCTTATGCTTGTCAGTTCAGACCTTTTAAAGTATACGGCGTAGAGCGGGTTCATCATGTCGAGAGGGCCTTAAAAAGCAGAGTTCCCAGTTAAGTTTCTCTGGAATTTAGAAGGGGACCTCACCTCTGTCGTCTTTGCTTCGGATCGCAGAGTCAATAACTGTTGTCTTTTCATACAATAGTCCATCGAAGGTGGGAAAGCTGATTTCAGCTTTGATAATTGTTCACTTAATTTTCTTGTGGCAATTCTTTAGAGCGATTTTTTTCGCACATTGACACCCTTCATTAGCTTGAAAAAATTATGGAGTTGAGAAATGCATGGATGGAGGACACAAGTTTCCCAGCAGCTCCTGGTGTAGAGTTCAATTCTGCAGTAAATGTCGAGGCACACTCGTTGTTTGTGCGTTGAATACGATAATGAATTTTTTTCACCCATTGACACTTCCTCGACAATCTTTTACACCTTAAAAGCAGTTGGTTTCAGGAAGAGTTATTCACATCCGTTGTGAAAGAAAATGAGGTCTCAATTTTCACTTGGATTTACAGGTCCTCGAGTCACTTGGCCAAGAGTGTATAGGTGGCAAGTCTGTGGAGCTGTGGGTTGTGCCGTGTTCATGGGCACGTTTGCTCGGCTGTGGGAACCTGCCTGCGAGCCGCAGAATATAGCAGCATACGAAAGTCAGGCTTCGTAGTGATTATCGTCCTTCAACATCGTGACGTGTTGAGAGGATCTCTTTCTATCACATTTTCCTTCAATCCTTAGTCCTTTGCTTGAAACACTGCTATCCTGAAATCTTCTCCATCGTGTTATTGTCGTTTGTGTTTGTGTTTGTGTTTTTTTTTTTTCAGCGACGTCAGGAACCGTTGGTTTAGGTTGTTCCGTTTATATTTCTTCACGTTATACAAGCTAGCGTTTCTCATAAGTTATGACTTAGATCCTGCTTGCGCATTAGAAGCAAGGGTATCAAGTTCCTGGAAAGACTTCCATCAGAATTAAATATGACGGGGAGTTCGGAAGACGATTCTTTCTTCAACATACCACCAAATCCTTCAGTGCCTTTGGGGGACAATCTCCCGGTTCTGACACGGTCCGACTCAAGCATTGGAAATTGGAGTCCATATCTACGTGACTTGCATATCCTCAGCTTCAGTTTTCTCTTCACGTTTCTGGCGTACAGTGCTTTACAGAATTTGGAGAGCAGCATCCACGAGGTAGGTTTTCAACTATATCATTGGTTGTGCTGATGATTACGAAGGGCAGGGAACCATTACTTCTGGAGAATTATCAATTAATGATGATAATTTGCTGAATTTCTTTCTAATTTGTGTTTTTTATTTTATTTTATTTTATTTTTTATTTTTATCGTCACCGTCACATTATGATGAGTGGAAGTTCGTAGTTTTTACAGCTGCAATGAAGTACACTACTGACAAAGGCCCTTGAACTTGAAGGTCCACCTTTATATGTAATAACTGACTAGCTAGTTAAGGCTCTCTTGTGCAGGATGATGGACTAGGATCAACTTCGGTTGGAGTACTGTACCTGTCTTTGACCTTCTCATCTCTTGGGGCTCCGCTCTTTGTAGTATGGTTGGGGACTAAGCGTGCGTTGTTGGTCGGACTGTCTGGCTACTGGGTCTTCACTGCAGCGAATCTTTACCCCACATGGTGTGCTCAAAGTTGATATTTTTTCAATTCTCTCTCGCTCTTGTGTACCCCTTAGTAATCCTCTAGTGCATAGTTTACAACGGCGTTGCTCGAAATCTGCACTTTGTCTATCTGAAGCATACGATTATATCCTCGCTCATGTTTTACGGTCCTAAATGAGTAGGCTCTTGTACCAACAAATTCTTTATATAATAACTGGCTCTTGTGAGGTGATTCTGATTAGTTGTTGCTTGGAGATCGCAGGACTACCATGATTCCCGCTTCCTTGTTCTTAGGGTTCACAGCGTCTATTCTTTGGTGTGCTGAGGTGATCTTCAAGTCCTATAAGAATGCCCAAGTTGTGATGTTCTTTCGTACAAATTCTAGGGCTATTCGGTGAACTTTTGTAGATCTCAGGAGGTTGTCTTGTTCCTGCCCAATATTGAGTGGTTGCATTGATACGGTTTCATTTACGGTCACTTCGCAAGTTTGTAGTATTCACAGTAGATGAATTGAAGGCTATGCTTTGACGGCTATTAAGTTTGAGAAGGAAACGGGTTGTGATGTGGTGTATTTTAGGGCACGTACTTGACGTGTGCAGCAAAGAGGCATGCAATATCTTGTAACATTTCAGAAGAGACAGCGATTGGAACATTCAATGGCGAATTCTGGAGCCTTTTTGCATCAAATCAGGTACAAAATATGTTGTCTTCTACAACATTCAAAAGTTGAGTCTTTGAAGGTCTTGTTGTATACGATACTATTAGATTTCTATAGTTTACTGTATTTGACTTAAGTCATTCGCCACAGTGCTTGTGCAGACCTTGATTGTTTTCTACTGTTCTTCAAACCATGTTTTTGCGTACCAAATGCTAGATCTAATTATCAAATTGCTATAGATAACTTCTATTAAAGCCTTTCATTTGAATTTCATGTTTTTTCTTAGCTTTCAACAACCTACTTTGTATTCAGTGTTGTCTGATATGTGTGACAAATAGTTGGTCAACCTGTGCGCTACCAACCTTGAAATATTGCATGCTACTTTCTCTTTTCTCTTGGAAGAACTTGCTCAATATTACATGTTCTAGATTTGTTGTTTTGCTCAATATTACTGTATTGATCCGGTGGCAGTAACTGTTACAGGTGGTGGGCAACCTCGTCTCACTTGGTTTGCTGTATTATGGGAAGGTGAGGGACAAAAATTGTAGGTTGTTATATTCTGTCATTGATTACTATGAAAGAGCCTTTGTCGATGCACTGACTAGGAACTTTACCTCAGAATCTATGACTGTTTCTTATAAGATCCTCGTACATTCGGTTTCATTTTTCTTAAACTTCTTTTGTGGGTTGACAGGGCTCTTCCGGATCAGGAGATTCCTCATCTGGGACTACATTGCTTGTCATCGTCTTCCTAGGAAGTATGGCAGTAGGAACTACTCTTGCATTCTTCCTAACACCACAGTATTCAAGCTACTCTACTATTTCAGAGGACAGCCTGCCATTAACACCAGCAGGAAATAGGGATCTTGCTAAGAGGATGTTCGCTTTGTTACATGAGAAGAAGATGGTGATGCTCATCGGGATTCTAATATATACAGGCTTGCAACAAGCGTTCATTTGGTGCGTTGAATTATCTCTTGGTCGTAGCTCACACATGATATTGTTATGCAAAATCTTTGATGTTTCTAGCCAAAGAAATCATTGTTTGGGTAAGAAGACGTGTAGTATCTTGCGTATCTTGATTCGAACTTCAGTATTTACAATTGGTTATTTGTAAATAGTTTATTTCTAAATTGTATTAGTTACTGAATTTCGCATTTTCAGACGGTGCTGTGTGTCATACTCAAGATGACCATAATTGACCTGTTTTAGTATGCTACAGGGGAGATTTCACTAAAGACATCATCACCCCTGCATTTGGTGTGGCATGGGTGGGAGGTGTCATGGCCATTTATGGTGCATCTGATGCTATTGTAAGAAGTGATCCTCTTTAATTATGCAACGTTGTGAAAATGTTTTTCCTAGTAAGTAGCTTTGTCAATTTACAAATTGCTGTAAAATTAATTTTAATCATCAAATGACAGACTAATGACTAGGCTGTATATGTTTGATATGTTGCCGTGTTGGTGGAATTGTAAATAACAGATAATGTGTTCGCAGAGTTCTGTTGTTGCAGGTAGATTCTCAACAGGGGTACCAGCAATTGCTGCTATTACTTGTGTGGGGGCAATTGCTCAGGGCTTCGCTTTAACGCTACTCTGTTTTAAACAGCAGTAAGTCTTATGCCCGCTTATGTATTGCAAAAATTGTTTGTTACATAAGCTTCATAGTTCCTTTCATGGAATTGTATCATGCTTTATTTGGACTACGATAATGGTGATGAACTAGCAGATCTATCAGTGTTCAAACAATGGATTCTTTCTACGTACCTGTTTTTAAGTATCCTTGCGGAAAAGTGGAACGATTTCTCTAATTTGAATCCTTATTTTCTTGTTCTCCCAGGTTCGGGGGAGGAGGCATTGACCTTTTACTTCTGAGTGGCTTAGCCATAGCTTGGGGTGTAGGTGATGCTACATTCAATACTCAAATTAGTGCCCTGCTGGGAATCTTCTATCCTGACGACACTGTAAGGCAACCTCATCCACAATTTTTGTTTTCGTTTTTGTTCTTCTTTTGCTTGCAACTTCATTTTTAGATAATAACAATGATAATAAAAATATATGCTTGTAATTTTCTCTGCAAGTTGATGTCAGCTGTTTTTGAGCATCATACGTACGTTTGCTGATGATACAGGAAGCAGCCTTCGCACAATGGAAGATATGGCAAAGTGCTGCAACGTCTGCTGCCTTCTTTGCTAGCCCACGTACCGACTTCTTCATTAAACTATATGTATTACTGGCTGTACTCGTTCTGTCTATGGTTGCTCTCCTCTTTGTCATCATGCGGCAGAATGGATCGGGTGCCCGAAGGTAACGATCTCTTAATATCTATGTAATGTGGATGGTTGAATGAACTATAGTTCCACTAATACAGTTATGACTGTGGGCCCTTATGGGAGGAGCCTGTTCGCTCCCACCTCCATCCTAGTAGAAGATTTGTGTAACAGAACTACGTTGTGATCACAAAGAACTTCGTCAGGAAAAAAGAATCCTTATTCTAGTCATGTTCCTAGTCACTGCTCTCCAAAGTTGGAGGCAGTAGCTGCCTGGAATGGATAGGTGCGAAGCATAATCTGTAATACCGCATGTGAAGCCCATGGCTCACTTTTTCTGGTACACGGATTCTCCTTGTTTGGTGTTTTCAAGCACGTGTTACGGCCTTCGCGTCTTCAAACGATATGTTACACAGAAACTGGTGTCTTATGTTTGTTAAAATTTATCATTTTTTTCTCGATGGCACACATGACTTGTATTTGATGGACTTGGCATTTCCAGCCAAGATTATCAGAAAGATCTCTGGGCCTGCAGCTGGAGCAAACTGCACAAGCCTTGAAAAGGGAGGATGTCGCACTGTGCTGCCTATCCCAAGATGCGTGACATTATTTTGTAAATTCTCCGAATGATTTTTATCCGTCTGGCCTCACGCATCAATGGTCGATGTACTACCAAGGGGCTTTAAGAAATCAGTAGAGCGGTAAAGATATTGAAGAAGGATTTCATGGCGGAGACATCGTGCCAACGCACTGGCCGGGGTAGAAAACAAACATAGAAGTTAAATTGATAGCTTAATTACTTTTTTGTTTACTTTGCAACGTGCTCTTGAAACCTAACTACGCTCAAAAGCATAATGGGCATATTTCGATAACTAATTACTTAGTGGATGGCACCTCCTGTACTTTTTGCTGTGTGCGGATTTTTGGCAATTTACATGAGCAAGCAAGAGTATTCTACCCAGTTCAGAAATGTCCTCCTATTGCTAATCCCAAGGCTTCTGAAACACTGCATCGAACAAATTTGTTGTGTAATTAAGATTGTAAGTTTAAAAACTTAGTATTTCTACATACATACATACATACATACATACATACATACATACATACATACATACATACATACATACATACATACATACATATATTCACACAATCACTGAGAGGAGTGTTAAATCTATCTGTTGTCATATTAAAATTTGAAGATGCATTCTTGTCACTTGTGAGCTTACACGCACTTTCCCATCATAAATTGTTATTAATTCATTCTTCAGTACTGATACAATCAATTAAAGAAGCATTCTTTGTTGATATTAGAAATTGTAGATTGTTAACTTTAATATAATTATATAAATACACGTATGTAAATGTAAATATTTAATTACAAATATATAGACACGATTATTCATCGATATATACTTTCTTCTTATGCAACACTTATTTCTTTGCACAACAAAATGAAACAGTTAATTGTTTGAGATGTTCCAAAATCTATCTATAATTGTGTAGTTGGATTCTTTTATCATGCCAATCTGATACTTGCCAGTGTTCATTATTCTTGTTTAGTTATTAAAATAATTTCTAAATTTCAGTGGTGGCAAGTCCTCCACTTCACTTTCGTCTTGTTAGATAAAGTCAAAAGGACTTCAAATATTTTAATGTTCATGTTACTTCGTTTAAGAAATTGATAAATTTTTTATTTCGGAATGCACTAGAAAAACGGACGCTGGAAAACCTTGGTGTCTTACGTTGTAACTACATAGTTCATGCGCATTAGACAAAATGTTTCACTTTCAAGACTGTGTTTCTGATGGGACTGTTTTTAACTGTCCATTCCAAAACTGGTTTTTCAGCTTCAAATTCTTTCGAGTTTTATCGGTTATGTTTGTTAATATTATCTCAAATTATAAAACATTTGTTCTCACAGATTAATTAGTTAAGCTACAGCGATGAGTGTTTTACAGACTGAAATGGAAAATGAAGTCTTCGGCGACATGGGCTATGAACATCGAAGACAAGAAGGTGGATAGTGGGGCTCATAATCTTATCGGGCAAAAGACAACCACCCCAGAGAAGCCGCATCTCTTTCCTTAAACATAAGAATGATGTGGAATCAACGATTCATAGGTCATCGAGGTGTACTTAAAAAAATATTTACTCAAATTTACAAGGCGACCGACAATCTCAAGTCCAAGTTATACAAATCTACACCATCAACTGCGTCTACACCGTTTCAGATTCGGTGTGAAAACGGAAGTCACTGATATATTCTGCAGTAGTAGTTAGAAGGGTTTCTGTGAGTTCTACAATTTGGGTATAGCACTAAATACGAGATCCAGAATTAAACAGCGGCTGTGGTCTACCTCGACAAACACAGCTGAAGCAGTTAGCAATGTGTCGAGCCGCAGGTGGCGCTGGTGGTGCACCTCTTCGGCTGGAGTGCAACCATCCTACTCCTGGCTTGGAACAAAACATTTGCGTGTCATTGTTCCACTATTGTTGTGAAGACTGGTTTCATCGACCGAATTGTTCCTTGGGAGATGCTACCCGAGTCCTGAGCATTCATTCTCACAAGTTAGCATGATGCAGATAACAAGAATGGCAGTTACAAGGCGTGAAGCACAGTGCATATACTCTTTCAGAGATTCATCGGCTTCTGAGATTGCTGTGGCATTCTGTGCTATCTGATTTAAAGCCCATTGTGAGCAGTAGAATTTTACAACACTTGGTAGATCAATGTAAACTTGAGGAAGAGGTTTCGTGAAGGTGGTAGTACCTTGGATAGACCCCAGGGCTTCAAGAGTCTGAAAGGCCGGCTATTTCGTGCCAGTATACCTTTCGTAACGGGTGATACAAGAGAATCGGTTGGACTCGTGTAGCTGCATAACAAAACAATTCATACTGCTAGTATTGTGACATAGTGTCATAGCTTTGAATTCGGACTGCACACGAAGAATTCAAGACGTGGACAAAGGAAACGGATTCTCAGGCGTGAGCATGAACAAGTGACAGGAAGGAAATTCAAGTCAAGAAATAAGGAGCGCAGTGAATGGGGGAGGTCCGCACCGCTCTGATGGGTTCAGCGGGCTCGCGTTGAGAGGAACCTTGACCGGGCTCGGGGCTAGTTTAGGCTTCATGCTCGCTTTCGTCGGGCTCCCTCCCTGAAGCAAGAGAGTCACAGGGGCGGGCATTTTAAAGGACTTCGCGTGCATCCGCTGCCGGTCCTTGGGGCTCAGTGCGGCCATAGCACTGCTACGCTTGAGGTTCCCAAGCAGCGGCGCATTGTCAAGATCAACATGATTCTCCACAGGCACCTCGTTCTCCATCCCTTCTCACTCTTTTTCAGCGACCAATCTCCACAATTGACACAATTACCCGTCACAACGAACTCGCCCACATTCAACAATGCTCGAACCTCGCTACCTAATACATCCCACGCTAAACTAAGAGACCCAGCTCAAGAACCGAGGAAATCCACCTCTCCGACACTCAAAATCTCAAATCAAGCAACCATTCTCCACCAATCCACCGTGGTGCCACAGTAAGCCTTGAACGCGACACAGAACCAAGCCTTGCACTACACCCATACAACTTCTAAGACATATTGCGCATCGCTCAGGGCACCGGTGAAGGCCACATAGAGGTTGATGGAGAGAGCATGAGACAAGCTATACAGTGGAGAGCATATATCGCGAAGACGGCATAGATTAAAAGAGGAATCGGCACAGCAAGAGGAAGCTTGGGAGATGGATTATCGTTGCAACGCCCACCAAGTGAACGTTCAACGGACATGGTGACGACGAGGACGACGACGGCGGGTGACCCGTTGACTTCCTCGGGCCACGTCAGCTGTGTCCCTCCTTGGGTGGCATATCCACCCGGGGTTTCGAGGGGTGGGATGGGGGCTAACCTGTAACGGCATCAAGTGGAGAAGAGTCCACACTATTGCGACTATGACGGCAATAATAAAAGCTTCCTTCACTAATCTTGAGTCTAATCAGCTCAGTAATCAACTTCCTCTTCCTAAGTGAAATGCAATGGCGTCTACACTGCTCTTGTGGAGAGCTTTTCCCCTGCTCTTCTTACGGAGTGGCATTTTTAACAGCACATGTTTACTGTAATTGTTGTAAGATTGGTGATTCTTACATCAAGCTTGTGGACTAAAGGTCATACGGGATATAAACAACGCGGGTCTTGTCTGCATGAGCAAATAGGCAACATGTATCAACCGTTACCATCGCCACAATTCATGGTCCAGAGTGGACAAGGAGAGATCCCGTAGAGTTGAAATCCTACGGAAACTAACAGGTTTGCAGCGAAGCGATTCAGGCATGATGGGTCAAAGGGCAAGATGGAACAGGTGACGAGGAATTGATGAGACGCAACCGAAGGAGGTAGCATCTTCGTCGCGATACCCACGCAGAGGCTTTTTCTACCGACAAGCAGTAGCGGATACAAAGTAAAGTTTTATCTCATCCGGGCGCAGGTTAATAGCATATGATTGTGAAGGTTAAGATCTAGCAACTCGCATTGGAGAGTCTGAAGATGTCTTTACTCGAATTTATTCTCCCGTGCAAGTAGAAACCTTTTAAAAAGGGAGAAACACGTTGACCACGTTTGTGCAGAGGTTGCACTTAGTAGAACTGTTGGATGCAGTGCTGCGGGTTAAAGGAGTTGGTGAACGTATGTGTAAATGTGCAGCATGTTCAGTGAATTTCGTTAGCACGAATTACAGCGTGGTGTTCGACGTGTGCCACATTGGAGCCAGCAACCAAATGGCGTGCTGCGATGCACTCGATGTATTCGTGTGTCCCTATGCTAAGGAGGGATTTTTAAGCGATGCAGACGTGGTATAGACGGTTTGGGGCGCCCTTCCACGCTAGAGACATCACCAAACCAGACCAGTAGCACCATGGATATGTCTTGCACTTTCTTCATCGTTTTGTTATCTCTTTTTTCACGAGTTAAATGTCGGTGGTGACGAACATAGTTATCAGTACGAAGCGCTTGTTCTTTTCCTCCTTGTAAAGGAGGCTGTAGTTTGGAGGATAAAGGCAAATACAAATAGCGGATGCTGCAACAGATAGTCTGAAACAGGTTTTGGAGGAGGTTACGGTTCGAAGATTGCGCTTCACCCTGATAGAAGCGGCGTGTCAGTTTTCTACGTAAAATCAATCGGCATATTTATTATCACTGAATTACCGAATTCAACGGCGCTCATTTCAGGGGTATGCTCGCGAGGCTTGAGAAAAGCCAGCCCAGACAACGGAGATGTCTTGTGACGACGTTTGCGGCGATCTCTAATTTGCTTCATTGAGTTTTTTTTTTTTAAATAAAAATGTGTTAGTTTCTCATTTAATCGTGAGTACTATCCAGTTATGCACTTCTCAAGACTGAAAAAAGGTTATATGAAGATAACATCTCCTGAGGTCGATGGCTTTGATGCAAAGCCACGACGGAGGTGGCCAACACGCTGGATGCTCAAGCTCTGAGCCAATAAATTAAGGGCTTTGCGCTCTTCCAACTTTGCCCGGACAACATAGAAGACCGCCATCTGAACCGTCTTTATGCATAATTTTATTTAAACTGTACGTTATCGCTGGGTCGTTTATGGTGATGTGAGAGGACTGAGTGCACAGAGGAATGAAGTATCGGTCAAATTATGACACACAGTCTACACTCTGCTAAACAGTTTGCGACTTAGAGTATCCGCTCCCACTTCTTGCAGGAAAAATAGGCATCAAAGGGTCGCAGGGCTGAAATTAGTTAACAAGCTTAGTATTGTATGCGGAAAGTGATCTCAGAGGAACAGAACGGGTCGGCGCCCGATTATGCTCATCCCTCCCAAGTGAAACTTACCGAGATGAGGAGGTTGTATCTATTAAAACCTCAACTCGCATTGTGAATATATTCCGTCCTAGTAAACATTCCCTCCGGTGTCTGCCAATCTATTTACTCCCACGTCTCACGTGACTCTAATCACTCCCTGAAACTGAGGATCTAACCAGTTCTGAGCGCTGATCTTGCGTCCCAGTCTGCTCCTGGCGACGTTCTCCCTCACGGAGACGATCACTGGCCTCCTGGAATAACTCTGCCTGCACAGATCAACGGAGGGACACCAACTTCATTCAAAAACCTCTAACACCATAGAGGGTGCAACTTGATGTCTAAATCAATAGTTCCATCGAAGGTACAACCGCGTAATGTAGATAGTAGGGCAACTCAAAAAGAACAGTTCAGATAGGGGAGCAACGTCACGAGGTAAACGGGAAGCTCTTTTCCACGTCAAATTACCATTGCAAGTGGTTCCAGCCTTGAACTTGAGGTTGCATTTCTGGGGAAGTTTCAGGGCGAGATCGGAACGCGCGGTGTTGCTCGTGGATGCAGAGCACAGGCAATCCTGGCCGTTGTTGGCCACGTAGCTCGAGAGTTGCGTGCAGCAAGTTGCGGAAGGCATGATGTCCGATTGCGTCGCCGGCAAGCAGGCTAGCAGACTGGTGGTCGCGGCGCAGGCAGCCTCGGTTTCATGGAGCATGGAGCTAAGGCATAGGAAGACCAATACTAGCACTGTAACTGCAGAGCTCGTTTTCATCGCCATTGTCCACAAATGGAAAAAAGTCAGAAAACTAGCTTGATAAGCAACAGAAAAACGATTGGAGCTCTGCTGCAACGAAGAGATCAGGAAACCCAGCTGTAGTGTTGGATCTTAGCAAAGGAGGGATAGTGGCTTATATCAAGCTGCTGCTGGAATGGACATTATTATTAATTCCTCTTCTTCAGGGACACTGATGGCACGGCGTTGATGTAATCGTAGTCAGGGACGCTTTTTTACATTATTGAGTTTCCATTATTTTGGTCCGTTGTGCCGTACTCGCAGTTCGAGGCTTGGAGTGAAGAAAAGGCTGGAAGCGTAGATGAAGAAGGAAGACCTCTCTTCTGGACCTCCATGTCAGAAGAGTCATTGTTGCTAGTTTGGAGGAAGGGCCATTTGTCAATTCTATTGATGCACTAGACAACCGTGCAATGTGACTTGGGCCTGATTTTTTAAATTTACAGATGGTACATCTCTCCATCGAGTATTATCAAGGTACAGCAAAGATCATATTGTTTTCAGTTACGATTCAGCTAATTGATGGTTTCAAAGTGAATCGTATGTACTGATCCACGCAATAAACACCGATATGTAGCAAAACTCTGAGCATACTGAAAGGCCAAAGGGGAAAGCAGGGTGTGAACATCATCGACGATGATCAGTTTGCTGTGTGAAAGCCTAGAGTGCAACATGTTTTCACAAGGTACGCCGAATACAGCAGTAATCAACGACTCCTGGATAAAGACAGGAGATGACAAAAATGTGCTCCATGGTTTGTGCTGTAGCTGAGTTCTACTTCGCAATGTCAAATCTCAATCAGTAGAAAAAAACTGAAAAAATATGTCGGCGAAAAACCCTTCTTGAGAATACCAGAAGCTCTGAGTTCTCAAGGGTCCAACATAAGCTACAGAAATCAAAATTGAAAATTGAAAATCAGAATTGTCCAAGTGCATAGAGTATGAAATCGTGATTAATGTAAAACATCAATGCTACAATACTAGTCCAGTATTGAAATCTGTCCTGTACCTTTCATCAAAAAACGAAAGATTAACCTACAAAGGGCTCCAAATCATGTCACATTATCACCTTGATACCCATCTTCATGTAGGTCTATGCATATTATATAGATAAAACCAGTATTGAAGTTACCTGGATCGTACTTTGAAACCCAACCTCTCTATAAGATGACTCTCACAAGGCACCCAAAATATTGTCTGATAACAAACACAAAACCCAATTATATTTTTCTACTCAAGAACTAATCCAGTATCTTTGCTCATTTAAACCACAATAATTAATTATCCTTAGTAGCTTACCGCTGGAAAGACAAACACACCCACTGCTAACCATATTTGTCTATGAATCAAGTGGGCTTTTAACAATTCTTGTGATTAGTTCTTCTTAAGATTGAATTTATTTACTAGCAATCATAATTATATTTGGCAAGTTATAGAGTATTTCAAAAAGAGAAATTAATATATTATAGATTATAAAATTTGATAAATAAATAATAAATAAATAAAATATATAAAATAATAGATAATGGCATAATTTTCAAGAAAAAACAGCATTGAAGATTTATCTTTGAAGAATAAATAATAAAAATAGAAAATATTTTAATATTTTAAAATATAAGTTTCTTATTTTAAAGATTATATATATATATATATATATATATATATGTTGGATGGTATTTGTAACAAAAAATCAAGTAAAAGAATATATTAAAAGATTTTAAGATGTATAAAATAAATCCAGTATATATATATATATATATATATATATATATATATATATATATAGATACACAATATATATAAATTTATATATTTTAGAATAAAAAATTGGATAATAATATCAAAAATAGTTTTTATAAAGAAATATTAAATAAATAGATTATTATTCAATCTTAAAACATATTATTAAAGATATCTGTTATAAGACAAAAAAATAGCTAGAAATTACATAAGATAAAAATTAAATAATAAAAGATAAAAATTAAATAATAAAAGATAAAAATTAAATAATAAAAGATAAAAATTAAATAATAAAAATTAAAAATTAAATAATAAAAGATAAAAATTAAATAATAAAAAATAAAAAACTATAGACATAAACTAATACTTTAACAAGTTTGTAAGATGTTTATATCTTCTATATATGTGTAAATTCCACCAATGGATCTTAATTGTTAGAATTGTTAAAAATATGATTTTTAATTATTTTGATATAAAATAACAATATTAGAGATTCTATTTTATTATTTTTATATCTACAAGAATTTAAAAGGGCTTATAAGTTAAACAAGTCTTTTTAGAATTTTTTTTATAAAAATAGATTCTCAGCAAGACTTTGAGACAATTATCTTTGTTGATTTAATATATTATTTTAGTTGTGAAAATTAAAATTTAGTTATTGAAACCAATATCTTTATTGGCCTTCTATGTAAATTTATCACTCATTCAAAACCTATAAATATTAGTTAATAGATATAAAAAAAACATGATTTTTTTATATATCTTTTTAATTATTTATGTAGAAAATATTTTCTTGTTTAATTAAAATTAATCATATTACTATAAAAATTAATAAATACAATAAAAAATATTTAATTGATATTTAAATTATAAATATATTATAAATATTTTTATATTTTATTTAGAATTTATTTAGAAAGTTTTAGAACATATTATCAAGACTTTTGTAAAATTGGTTTTTACCACCTTGAGAAGCCATTATGAAGAAGTTGAATAAGATTTGAAGGCCATACAAGGTTTTGGAGCTAATTGGATGTTTTGAACATCATTTTAAAGTAAAAAAATTAGTAAAAAATAGTTTTTCTAGTAGAAATTAAGAAGACAAGCATCTAGTATAGTAAGTATAAGAAGAGAGGTGCATATGTCCTAAATAGATTGTAGCACCTTAGATGTAGGTAAGAAGATAAGATTAAAACCTTTTAGCTTCTTTATAACACCAATTTATGTTACTTTTGAGCCTTGATGAGGCTCAAATCATTAATCAATTAAGCAAGTTGTCCTTGTAATAAAATATATTCACTTAATTCTTCTATCTTTTACTTCCTATCTTTAAACTTTCATAACTTATTCATAATTACTTGGATTTACATGTATGTTATGTTATTAGAAAGATTAGAAATTAATTATTAAAAATATATTTTTATTAAATAAAAATATAGTGAACAAAATACAACTAATTTTTGGAATGTGTAATTGTTTGTTTGCAATTCTTTTACTTATTTTGTATTTTATATATGTTTTATTTTTTATTTTTTATTTTTTATTTTTGATTGCATCTCTCATTTTATACCAATAATTATAAAAAACTCTTAATTGAGGCTATCTTAAAATTTAGATTGAGAGGTGAATTATACTTTATTAATATACCAAGCATTATCTATTATTACATATAAGTTTTATTGCCAATTATAAATTTATCATTTATATTTAATTTAGTTCTTTTATAATATAAATTTTAAAATTAAACCAATTTTTTTAATATGTAGTATATTTATATATTATTTTCTATTTCTATTAAGATATTTTGTATAACATAAGAATAACTAATTAAATAATATAGAATATAAATCTTTTTGTATAGTAATTTATACAAATAGGTTTAAAGGACATGAATCAATAAATAATTTATAATAAAATATATCTATGTTCTATTGAACAAAACATAAATACTTATAAGATTATAAATTAATATGATTATTTTCAAATACAAAAGACTTATGACTATTTAATTAAAACTTAAACACAATATAAGTATTAATAAAACTAATATTGGCCTTAGTGTTATCTCAATATATACTAGCTAGAAAGATGGTCTTATGAAACTTTCTTAGAAATAGCAAAATATTTGGCATAAGCATGAAGTTATAAGCTACTTTTAGAATAATTTTTTTAATATTAGTAGTAATAGAAATAGCAATGCAATATAATTTAATAGAATCTATATTAATATGTTCTTAGATAATAAATAGACTAAGCCTTTGATATTTTAACTTCTTATAGGACCAATTGATTTTAAAATTGGAATAGAATAACTATATCTTATATATGTAATAACTTTTTGCATAAATTACAAAATATACCATTTTGATAATCCATCATTATAAAAGTAAAATTTGAAGAATTTGAGACTAATTTTTTTGTAATAAGTTCTATTGGAATAAATAACTAATATTACTTTATAATAGATAGAAGTTGTAGAATTTTATAGAGTTGATGATGTAGAGTCTTTACTTAGGAATAAATGTTATAGAATTAGACAAATGATTTGACTTATTTTTACATTTGAGGCCACTAAAAGTTTCTCAAAATAAGTTATAAAATTTTATTATATACAAATATCCTATTTTTAGAAATTTATATTATACTTATAATACAAGTAATTATATTTGACCTTTTTAAATATATAAATATCTTTTATAATTAAAAATAATTTATTAATACTTAATTTTTTAGAATTATCATAATAATTATATATCACATAAAAAATAATAAGGCTTATTGAGATATTGGAACAAATATTTTTACAAAAATTAATGTCAATTAGAATTGTTACTTTGATGGCTTAAAATAGATTTTTTTCTAATTTTAAAAAATAATTTAATATTAATCATATATTACATTCTTTTTCTTTTTGTTTAAGATAATAATATCTAGATAAGATATTTAATAAATCTTATTATTTTCTAAGATGAAATGTAATATTAAAAACAAATTTTTACAAAGATATTTTCTGATAATTTTAGTAACAGTTTAAGACATATACTTTAGTGAAATATTTAGAATTTTTGTGATTAGTATAAATTACAATTAGATGAAATGTACCTTTTGGATAATAATACTAATTTTGGAATGATTCTACAATAGAAAAAAGGTTTTTTTTTTTTTTTTTTTTTTTTTTTTTAAATCTTGTGATTAATCTTAATTCCTAAAAATATTCTTGAATAAAATACAATAGAATGAAGTCTATCATCTATATCTATTTATCATAGAATTTTACTTAATTTAAAGTTTTATGTATTTATTTTATAAAATATAGCTTTAAAAAATCTATATAACTTAAGAATGAAGATAAAAATCATTTTTAAACATTCAAATTCTACTTCTACAAATTTGTACTATTCTAATTTGTCTTTGAAAGTTAATTATTTAAAGAGTGCAATAACTTAATTTTTTTTATAATAAATCTAATAAAATTTTAAAAATTTCAAAAAATATTAGATATTATGTACTTTTATTGGATTTATTTAATGTATGATGATTTGTATATTTTTATAATATTTTTATAATCTATCATTTAAAATGATCAATTCTAAAAAATCTACTTATATTGCACAAAATACACATTTTCCTATCTTAATATATAATCTTTCATCTTTAAGTTTTTATAATATATTATAAATATATTAATTATATTTTTATATTCTTAAAATAAGTATTAAATTATCTAAATATCTACAAATATATTATTTTTTTAATATTAGAAAATAGCTAAAATATTTATAAGACCAAAAAGCATGATATTATATTTAAAATTAATATATTTTATAATTTTTTTATTTTATTTATCTTTTTTTAAAAATATACTAAATTTTAGGTTATTTGTAAATTTATCATAGTATAGATCTCAGTTTTATTTTATTAATTAAGAAAATTTAATATCAAAAAAAAATTGATGATCAATTTTTTAAGTATAAAATTACTTATACATATAAGAATCCATCTATTTTTTACAAAAAGAGTTAAAACATCTACAAGAAATTTTGAATTGGATGAGAAGAAGATATTGAATAAATTAAATTTATTTATTAATAAATTATAAAATAAAATAATCTTGTATCAATATTTTTACAACTAAAAAATTTATTTATAAAATCATTACTTTTAATATTATTTGATAGATATTTTTAATATATTTTCATGATTTTGTTTCATTATTTATAAAAAGAAATTAATATAAAATTATTAGATAATGTGAGATTCAATTCTACATCATGTAGGAAAAAAATGAGTTCTACCTCATCTTTTCTTCTGATGACTTCTTAGTTTAATTTTAAATAAAAGATAAGTAAAAAATATATTTCCATTTCAACCGATTATGAGCTTCAAATGTTGTAATTTCTCGCCTTTTTTCTAAGATATAGATATTCTACAAGATGTTATTATACCCTTTATTTATAAATTTATATGTGTATTTTACAATAAATATACTGAAAAGTTTTCACACTGTAAAATTTTAAATTATCTGGTTTATTTGAACTTTTTAGTTTTGCACAAAAAGTGACTTGATGATACATAACACATATGATTTTATGATACATTGATAAAGGAACTCAAATTATTACAAGTATTTTTGAATAAAACATGAAACTCAAACATCAATATAAACCATATTTCAAAACATAAGAGCAATACAGTTAAGGGCAGTGTTTGAAAACAATAACAAATTATGATATTGTCAAAGACACGTGCAGTGGTAAATGGTTTTTAAATTTTTCAAACTTCTCTTTCCATAGTTTCATTTACTCCATTCTAGGCGAATTTTATTATATATATATATAAAAATATATATATATATATGTATATATATATCTAAGTATAAACATATATATATATATATATATCTAAGTATAAACATATATATATATATATATATCTAAGTATAAACATATATATATGTAACAAAGTTTTGTTACTGGGTTCACCTGAGCCGGTGAAAACTGTTTCCCAGTTCTCGTGCTGGACACAAACGCGACGTCGGAAGGGTTTGCGCAAGCTGCAACTGCAACTCTGAAAATGGTATGGATCCGAGTGCACACAAGGAATCTGCAAAGCGGTGGCAGGGGCCATTGCGCATCATGCACTGCCTGATCCGGGACGCAAAAAGCTGCCCCTCACCGCGAAGGCCACAGCAACTCGCGTGAATCGCTGGATGTTTCAACGGAACAAAGAAGACCGTGAGCTGGGCCCTGCTGAAAGCGTCGCATCTTCCTCTTGACCTGGTGGTGAACAGGCTCTACATCCGCTGCGACTGTTGCATCGACAAAGACTTGTGCGACGACTTCTTCCATGTGACTGGTGGTTACTCCCGCACTCAATCATGCAGCGAGCCTCCACCGCTGCTGGCCATGTCTCGAAGCTCGGGGAGGACTATCTGATTTGCTCCCTCCAGGATTTTGATCAGCGCATTAGCGTATTTCCCGTCCTTGGTGGAGAAAAGCGTGTAGGCTACCCCGGTGGCGCCGCCACGTCCAGTGCGTCCAATGCGATGGACGTAGTGGTCGATCCCGCTCGGGAAGTCGTAGTTCACCACCACTCTGCCAATGGGAAGGCAACGTCAGCTGTCGGTTCATGAATAGATCTGCGAAGCGGCAAGGGATGTCGTCAAAAACGAGTCAGCAGATTTCGCTATCTCAGAGTCTGGAACGGAACATTGTGTCATGCACCTGATGTCTTTGACATCGAGTCCCCGAGCAGCTACATCCGTTGCAACAAGGACCGGAGTTCTGCCGTTCCGGAAATGAGACAACACAGATTCCCGTTCATCCTGAGACTTGTCGCCATGGATTGCAGCCGCTCCAAATTCATGGCCCAGACAGCGTGTAAGGGTATCGCATGCTCGCTTTGTTGAACAGAAGATGATGATTCTGGACCCTTTTTCCTGCGACCGTAGCATCTCCACCAATCGTCGTTGCTTCTCACAGGACTCCACTACTTCGACATGCTGCCAGCACAAGATACACGAAACTCGTACGAGAAAACAAAAAAAAAGAAACAAAAACAAAAAAAGAAACTGTCGCACGTTACATTCCACAGGATAAACCTCATCGCATTCCCAAGACAAGCTTTTCTTAAGAATTTGGAAATGACTGAAATTTTCAGGAAAAACCAATCTCTTCAGTTTGTTTGCCTGGGTAATAGCCTTGTTTGCAGTGAACTCGTCCACATTGCCGATGCTGACTTGGACTGGATTTGAGAGAAAGTCGGCTGCCATTCTGCGCACTTTTCTGGGCCAAGTTGCTGTGTACATGAGTGTCTGTCTTTGGGGGGATGTGTTCTCTACTATTTTGCGGATTTGGGGCTCAAAACCCATGTCCAGCATACGATCAGCTTCGTCAAGGACCAGATACGATACTTGCTTTAGACTCACTTTCCTTCCTTCCAAAAAGTCGTTCAAGCGTCCTGGGGTTGCTATGGCAATGTCCACTCCACGTTCAATGTCTCGGAGCTGAGGACCCTTCGGAGCACCACCATATAAACACTGCATTCACACGAGGAATAAAAAGCTGAAGTTTTCTCAGATTTTTTCTAAAATACAATGTCTTAACGCAACGTGATCTGAGACAAGCTTGTCACACGATGATCGACCGTTTGAGTTGTGGTGTTATTCATCGACAGTGACAGCTGTTCGTTGGAGAAAACTGATCATCTACAGAAGACGCACCGTGCCAACTATATCTGAAGATGTCCCAAACTTCGCACATTCGTCATGTATCTGCATCACCAACTCGCGCGTAGGAGCCAACACGAGCGCGGTCGGTCCCTTTCGTGAATTGTTTCGGTGGGATGCCAGGTGTAGAAAAGCAGGCACGAGGTATCCCAGAGTCTTCCCAGATCCTGTCTTTGCGACTGCTACCACATCTTTGCTTTGCATTGCGATTGGCCATGATTGAGCTTGAATGGGCGTGGGAGATGAAAAGCCAGCCTTCTGAAGCTGCCAAATTCAGCGCATGAATTCTCAGCTATCAATGTTTAGTGACATGAAAGTTCGTCACAAAAACGTTAAGGAACTGATCAAATCCAGTCTCAAACACTCAATTGCACGACCCTGTTTCAAGCAATTTGTGTTTTCCGGTGGTATGCAGCTGCATACACAGGTGATTCCCACCGCCGGTTTACCTCTCCAAGCAATGCTATCGGAAACTCAGCCGCCTCGAACGACAAAAGCGGCGCGGGGACATTCTCTCCCTGAGACAATTTCACATTCCAGATCAAATCCTAGATCAAAAAACCCAACGCCATCTAACCACATATGCTGTTTTCACTCTGAATCAATCATGCACAAGGTTCTACAACCAACCAGGACAGTGACTTCGTGTTGTTTTTTGTAGGCCTCAATAGCAGCGGCAAATGTAGCCTGCTGAATTTCTTTCGGCTCAGAGCTTCGTGACGGCGGAGGAGCAGCAGGTAGTTCGTGAAGCGAACCTGGGCCTATTGGAGGCAAAGGCAAGGGCTTTTCGTACTGCGTGATATTAGACTCAGGGTTCCAGTAAAAAATGTGTCCTGTGGCCTCGGCGATCAAAGCTATCCATGGCTGCGGCAAGTAAGCATCAGGGGGAGCGTACCGAGAGGTCGACCCCGTCACAAGAGTGGATTCTACCATCCTTGAAACTTCGCAAAATATGCACTGTAGACTCAAAATCACGGTAATCAGCACCCACAAAACTAATCTGCGAACATGGTTCAGCACACGAGAAACTTTGCACGTGTCGCGACAATAACAATACGCTCATATAACTTTGGAGTATCACGAGAACGATGTCTTCCTGAATGTGCTAAAAACGCTCAGAATGCCTCTCAATTTCTTGCTATCTCACAGCCACTGCAGCTTTGTGGCCCTCGCAGCAGATTCTCTTCTGCCCTGCAGGACGCTCAACCGATTGATCGCCAGAAGACGCACCCGATCGTTTTCAAGTTAATGTTTCCCCTGAGTAAGCAGTTGTGCAGCTCTGAACGCAACTGGTAACATGCCACAGATCACGATTCAAACGAAGGTTTTCATTCTTTCATATATCTGGAGGCGGAAGTGGCCGGCCAGCTGCTAGATCACGAAATTGACAGATCCTGAACCCCACCGCCGCCGACTCTGCAGGCTGTTTCTCGAACAATGATTGCAGGCAATGAGTTGATTGCACTTTCTACTCCTCAAAGTGATGCTTCAGCCGAATCAGCTGGCCAGTTCAATGGGTCGCAGAACTTCCCATCGCTCTGTAGTGTCACCTCGAACAAGTACCTGATCATCTGAGGAGGTCGTCATCACAGTTGATGAGGCACTCCCCGCCAATGGCCACATGAACCCATGGAATTGGGAAGATCGTGTTGGATGCTACTCTCAACAACATTCATCTCTCCCGTGAACTGCGCCTGTTTGGAGCAATGACATATTGGGGAACTCGTTCCCAAGTCTGTATCGTAAGTGTATATGATACGCTTCCACATCGTCTTTTAATTGAACAGTATGTTTCACTTTGTGTTTTACCTTAGCTTTCTATATGGTATCAGAACATGGTCTTGAAATACACAGCTTAGAGCAGATTAGCTATTAACAGCGGTCGTGGTATGTCCTCAGATTCAGAGATTATAAGTAGAGAGACGATAGACCCACACCAGAGACAATGAGTCATCCAGCTACACATGCTTTGCCAATTCCCACAGTGGGTAGCATCTCAGTCAGTCATGTAACTAGTCAGACCACAAGACCAAAAACATACTACCTTACAGTCCTAGAAAACTATGGTATCCACGCCTTCAAGACAACTATGGTATCCAGGCCTTCAGAATGCAAAATGTCTTAGAACAAGATGGACTCTAATACTACTGCATCACAACACCTAGCCACCCCATGTCAAAAGAAAAAAAGAGAGGTAGAGAGCAAGCTCAAAGTGCACTTAAAAGTAAAGGCAAAGGTAGCACAACCCTTAAGCTCCTTAGATGCAATCCAGAACCATATGAGTGTTAGACCTCATTAAAACCTCGTTATGATTTAGATAGTAACTCCCAAAAAGTCTCTTTGATTGATAGATTCTTCAATAACAAAAAGATGAACAACATGGATAAGTATTTTATGGATATGAAAGATACCATTGATCTACTTGACGAAATGAGAGTCCTTCTTCCAAAAGAGGTAGTAACTTTTTATACACAAAAGGATTTATCTATAGAATTTTATGTCAAAAAACAAATGATCTTCAATAAGATGAAATTGGCTTTTTATAAAGAGCTAGGAGCAAGGCTACTAGAAGAAAAAAACTTCCAAAAAGTTGGACTCATAATTGGAGTATAATACATAGTTTTGTTTGCAAAAAGAAATAGAACAAAACAAAACTAAACAAGAAGATGCAAAATCAAACTTTACTAAGAGAGAAGGTTCAAAGCCATACCTGACTAGATGGTCCAAAAGGCCCTAACTAGTCTTATTTATATTTTTTTCTACTACCCTTGACTTTCTAAAATATTTCTAGATGATCGACATTACTTATATAACTGCCTTAAACTCCTTTTAGAAGATTCTATGGTGGATCCTATCTAAATAACCATCCTAAATTCTTCTTAAAATATTCTATAGTGAGTCCTACCTAATCCACTAATCTAGTCCTAATTCTAAAAACTTCCATAAGTCCTCAAACATGGTTCCAACTATCTATTTCTATGTATCAACAATATAAATATCTTATCTATAACTTGTTACAATTAATCCCTCTCTATTAATGCAAAACATCCTCGTTTTGCTCCCGATGGTATTTCCAAATTGTCTTTTGGCAATAGGTGAGATTCTGTGTAGGTTCTCACATTGCATTATAGATGGGATAACCTTTCTAAAGAACTTTGTACTGAAGTTGTAGATATCCACTACCATGTCAAAAGTAGCAATGCTCCAAAATACTATCTACTTCATATTCTTGTTAGTTATCAACTACAACTAGTGATAGTAGTGGTTGGTGTCAATCCAAAAAGTGCTTTGGCTCGGTATGAAATTCATTTAGTTGCAAAACATGAAAGATTAGATGGATCCAAATATGTAGTAGAAGCTTGAAGTGGTATGCGACATCAAAAATGATTACAAAAATAGGAAAAAGTCCAAGCCATCGAGGTGCAAATTTATAGATTTGAGTTGATGCAACAAGTGGCAAGTTGGCATTAGAGAATAACACTTGAGCACCTTCTCAAGAAATCTTATGTTGCTGGTAGTTATCCGCATATTGCTTCTGTCAATTTTATGTAATAAAGAAATGGTGCCGTACTTCTTGTAAGGCCATTGTAAGTTATTATGTAAACTCTCTAATTGTTGGATTTTTGGTATCAATGGGACAATAGAGAGCTATTGGCATAATTGGATATTGACCAATGTTAAAGAAAAATGGTGAATGACTAGTGCTTACTTGAATAGTATCATTGTAAGCAAACTCCAAGGATGTCAAGTATTCATTCCACTCATTATAATGAGCTACCACAAATGATTATAGCATATCTTCTAAGGTCTGATTTTCATGCTCTATTTGTCCATCTGTTTGGAGATGGAAGGTTGTAGACATTACAAGTTGAGTGCCTAGTAGCTTGAACAAGGCTTGCCAAAAAACTTCTTTTAAAGCTTGAATCTCAATCTCAAACAATGATACAAGATAATCCATGGTGACAAAAGATAATATTAAAGAAGTTCCATGTAAGCACTAGAATATCAATATCTAAGTGCACCACGCCTAAATGAAGTTGTTTTAAGAGTCAATTGACAAAGATAGCAACCACAATGTGATTATGAAGCATTTGTGGCAAATACGTAATAAGATCCATAGTCACTTGCTTCCAATATGTCGTAAGTAGTAGAATTCACTCTAATAGTTCAAAAGACAATATGTTACATGCTTTATTATGTTGACATGACTCACAATAGTGTACAAAAGTTCAAACATCTCAATCCAAACCTACCCAAAATCGTGTCCTTAAGATGCGTTCTAGAATCTTTTCTTGCTATAGATGTCTAGATATTGGAATATCATGTCTTTTTTGAAATATATGCATCCAAAGTATAATATTATTAAATACATAAATTTGCTTCTTAAAATAGAGCAAGCCATAACCAGGATTATAATCTTGATACTATATATTATCTACTTTCAACTAATTGCTAATCATCTTAAAATAAACATCTCGATGCATAGCTTCTTTTATTTTGTCTCTTTGGTTAGATTTGAAATGATACTACTAATGGTAATAACTTTTGCCTTGTTTTTCGATTCAACCTTCAATTCTAGTCCTCGTAATAAGCTATCTTGTACAATATATTGTTGCTCTTGCTTGTACTCAAGTTAGATATCAAGAAGCTACAATTATTCTTCTTAACAATGATGTTGTGATTTTATATTTTTCAGATGCAAATCATGTAGTAAGGATCAATAGTTACTCCAAACAACCACTAGCTTCTCCATTAAATAGTGTCGCCACCCCTTTATTCTTTATTACGTGCAAAGTAATTGCTCTCTATCCTTATGAGCTTGCATGATTCATATGCCACAAGTTGAAGGCTCCTACTAAAGTCTTGTTGAAGAATTGTTCTAATAGCAAAGTTGGAAGCATCAATGTCAAGTGTATAAGGAAGGTTGGGATCATACGGTTGCAATATTGAAGCAATAATGAGAGCCTCTTTCAACCTATCAAAGGTACTTTGCTGCTCCAATTTCTATTCAAATGGGACATTTTCTCTAATAGGTTTGTCAATGAGATAATAATTGATGCAAATTGCCAAATAAAATAATAATAATATCCAATAAGGCTTAAAAATGAACAAACTTCAAAAGTATCCTTGGAAGTTAGCTAATCCTCCATTGCTTTCACCTTATCATGCTCCATACACATGCCTTTGGAAGACACTACATACCCTCCAAAAGTGACTTCTAACTTTCAAAGTTTACATTTTGATTGCTTACAATAGAAGCGACTATTTTGTAGCTAGTACAATACTTCTCATAGGTGTTGTTCATACTCCTTAGAGGTTTTATTACATATGAGAATATCATCAATGAAGACAATTACATACTTGTCCAAAAGATCTCAAAACAATCTGTTTATATGTCCCATGAAAGAGATTGGAGCATTGGTGATGCCAAAAGGTAAAACAAGCCATTCAAAATATCCATATCACATATAAAATATAGTCTTTTCAATATCTTCTCTTATAATAAGTGTTTACTAATATCCACTTCAAAGTTTCGATTTGCTAAAGATGGTCACACCTCAAAATTAATCAAGAAGATCATTTGCGCATAAAAGTGGATATGCATTTTTAATAGTTTGCTTATTGAAGCCTCAAAAGTTGATGTAAAGTCAAAGTCCACCATTTTTTTTAGGTCCAAAGAATACATGTATTTTCCATGGTGATGTGCTTTTTCAAATGATACCCTTCTCTAAGAGTTTGTTCAATATTTTTCACAACTCTTTAAATTCATTTAGTATTAGGCGATAAATTGGCCAATTTACTGGTTTGGCTCCAAACAATATTTCTTTTTGAAAAGGGACTCCTCAATCAGGATGCATGGTACTATGTAGGTCAGTTGGAAAGTCATCTTGATATTCTCGTGTAAGTTGCTTTACTTATTCTATTCCTTCAATTGTCTTGTGTAATATTGATGCAAGATTTGAAACCACTATATACATCGGTTGTTTATGTTGAATTTGCTTCTTTATAAAGGTCATCCCTACAAGTAAGTCTTTAATTACAAATTTTTTTTTTTCTTTACTTAATAGAAAGATACGAAGAGTCACCTTACGTCTACCATCTTTGAAAGAAATTGTCCTTGCTACCTAATCAACTTACTTATTTTTCACTTCAAACCATAGCATATAAAGAATAATATCATATCTTAGCTTTGTTACCTTGAACTTCTCTCTTAAGACATAGATGTCAGTCCAACTTAAGGTTTCTTCTTCATATGTCTCATTGAATATGTTCTCCCAATAATCTATAAGATATATACTTTCTTACTTGATTACCTTAGTTTTAATTCCAAGTTGATTAAAAATTTTAGTTGAAATGTAATTTTTTGTAGACCCACAATTTCTAAGCACTTGACATGATTGTCCTTTTAGTAGTTCTGTTAGATGCACCAATCAACTATTTTTATAGTTGTTTCAAGCCATTCCATTTGTCTCTAAGACACAATAGCTATTCCTAGTA